CGCTTTTATAATTATTAGTTGTAAAATGGTCACCAGGCAATATTATCGCTTATCACAATAATTTTTGAAACAATTAATCGCCCAGCAAAATTTGTTATCGTGACAGGCCTATATACAAATGATAAAAACATTAACCACACAACCGCTTCAAACTTTTCATTTTTAGACCACCAGATGTTTATTTAAAACTACTAATTTTTCTCGCTTCATACTCCATTGCGAGCAGTAAAAAATCTCCCATCTGCTCGCAATGCATTATGGGATAGGGTGGGCCAAGAAGGATCCATCAGACCTGTCCCTCAAATCTGGGAAAAAGGAGAACACATTTGTCGGCTGCATCAGAGGAGTCTTCTAACTTGGACAGCCTCCGGTGCGGAGCTGTGACGTAAGCAGCCGACAAATTAGGCCTTTGGAGGAGCAGSCCCTGAATTTTAAGGTCAGTGAGCTGTGGAAGTCATGCTGCAATGGGTTGGCTCCAAAAGTGAATTACTTATAAAGGTACATCCAGTGGTTATTTCCTGATAACTGATTATCAGGTTTATTTATATAGCATATAAAAACAACATGAGTTGACCAAATTGCTTCCCAATTTAGCCAAATAAATGAATAAAACAACAAAGCAGCACAAAAAATGTTTAAAAAAATGATCAATTTAGAAAATAAAAAAATGCAATACAACGGTGGCTTTAAAAGAATCTCAAACTCTACCAGAACAAAAGGCCAAGGAGTAAAGATGAGTTTTAAGCATAGATTTAAAAGTCTCAACAGTCACAGCAGTCCGAATGCAAAAAGGTAAACCATTCCAAAGGTTTGGGYAGAAASTGCAAAAGCCTAGCCTGGCCCTTGACTTTCTTCAGTACCACTCAATACTAATCTCACTGCTCTGCTCCGTCTGGGATTTCTCCCATAGACGAGGGAGTGGAATTACAACTGGGCCAATCAGTGAACAGGTGGAGCTATGAACGGCAATGCTGATTCTCTGCACAGTTTTAGTCTGCCTGTAGTTTAGCTACAGCCGTGGCAGAAGTGAACTTACAAATTAAATTAAATTTGTCTCTCAAAGCCTGCAGCACTCATTCACAGCCATCTCGTTCAGCTCAGTACTTCTGTCTTCCCAGTAGGGGATAGTTGTTTACAGTGCTCGCWATTTCCTRTTAGCTTCTTAGCYTAGCTTCCTTCACGGTCGAACTTGCTAATTAGCCAAACATTAGTGATTGGATAGCTGAGAGCTCAATAGCTGGGAGTCCAGACCCTCTGTACGAAACAAAGCAAAGAACAAGGGGCTGGTTTTTACCAGGCTAACAGAAGACTGATCACCTCTAAACTCTAGTCTAGATCTAAGAGAAACTGGATGACCGAAKGTCTCTAACTGAAGTGTGTGTGTTAATGAGATCACAGAGGTAAGATGGGGACAGACCTACCCAGGCAAAAAAATATGTATACTAAAGTATATTTTAAATAGACTGCATTTTACAGAAATATATTTTTAAGAAACTATTAAGAGAATATACTTTTTTGGATTATATTCAAAATGTAAAAAAAAGTATATTTCAAAAACCATACTTCAGATATTAT